CCCCAAAACCCCAAAACCCCAAAACCCCGTCTCACTTTCAAATTGAAATGACAGTTTATAATAGTAAAATAATATAAATGAAACTGAGAATTTTGCAATCAATTTGCCTAATATTGCCTATTAGTGCTAGTTTCAATAAAAAATTCTTATAACTCTCAACTATAAGGCAACTTTAAGAATAATAAAATACTCAGTGTTTTAACTGTATAGCAAAGAACGAAGGATTATTTAACATGCGAGATGATTACCTTATTAAAAATGGAATTTATACCTACTGTTAGCAGGATGGTGTTGGTGAGTGTTGTTATTTAGATAACTTAAATGGATATACTGGGACTTCATAAGTCTGCCAATATGGTGAATGCTCTTATAGTGTTTCTTAGGATCCAGTAAACCAAACTAATTTTTGGGTTTAGTATTCCTATTGCAATATGAGTGAAACAAATGATAATGATTGTGGGGATTCCAAAGAAATATAGATTACAAATGCATTTGATTAAAGCCCCAAGAAATTACTGATGATAAAATTAGTCAATGAAACAACTGATACAAATAATACTGAATAGAATAATACAGATCCTGGCAATGGATAAGGGAATGACACTAATAATGACACAAATCCAGATAATATGGTAAATGATACCAATGATGGAAACTCTACAGATAATACCACAGATCCAACAGACCCAGGAGATGGTGCCTAAAATCAAACAGATCCAGATAATTCCACTGATCCAACAGACCCAGGAGACGGTACCTAAAATTAAACAGATCCAGATAATACCACTGATCCAACAGACCCAGGAGATGGTATTTAAAATCAAACAGATCCTGATAATAATGGAGATAATAATACTGAGCCTAATAATAACGAAGATCAAGTTCTGAATCAAATTGTGACTCCTGATGCAGGGCGAGCTTTACAAGAAGTCCCTGACAATTTTAGAAGATGTAGCTATGAATTATAATTAGGGAACGATGTTTAAACATTTTTATAAGGGGTAAACAAGACTATTCAGATAAATTTCTCTGTATTCAACGAATCAAATCAGGTTATGTACGTGATAAACTAATAATCAAAGTTAGTATTTAGAGTAAATAATGGTACTTAATCCTTCAACATAACTTCACCGGGTTAGATTGGAATATTTGGAATAATGGATCTTACTTCTGATAGAGATATTGCCTTAATGTTAAATTTGTAAAAATTCGAAATCATCAATCAAGCTAATGACACTAATATGGAGGTCAAAGATAATAACCCTCTTAAAGTAGACGATGATGGCTTGGGTGATGGTGCTATTGCAGCAATAGTAATATGCTTAATTGCTGCAGTAGGACTATCAATAGGAGGAGTTTTCTATTGGCTAAAATGCGTTAGAAAGGTTAAAATTGAACTTAAAGATTAGATTCATAAGGATATTGTGGATACCTAACCTCACGAGTTAAATGAAGGAACATCAAATGATAAGTAGAATAAATAAAAATTTAAAAAATAAAAAGAGCAAGATAAATTTGATGATTAAAATTTGAAAGACTCTAGAGAATTGTAGGATGCAGCAGAATATGGAGAAGAGCAAGTAGAAAATGAAGAAACTTTGAAAGCAGCAGATATGTCAGCAAATCATCCAATACTTGAAAGGTCAAATCTTTCCCAAAATGAGGATAGGATAGATTATAAACTAGGCACAGAATCAAGGTTAAATAGCAATGCCAATTATAATCAGTTTAGTAACTAGACCTAAAACCAAGTTTCTAAGAAAAAGTCTTCCATTAGGGATACTAAGAATTAACCAATGGAGTAATCTCTTAAAAAGAATGATACCTCTAAGAAAACTAAAACCATAGAAAGCAGTCAATCTCAGAAAGACATACAGTAAGATAACAATTAGAGCACTGAAGGAAATTAAAATAATAGCCCTATAAAACAAGCAAGTTTTGCTAATCAATCCAGAAATGAGAATTAAAATATTTCATAGAATAATTCATCTATAAGGGAGAGGCCAAAAACTGCTGGAACCAAGCAAAAAGCAAAACCTGAAAAACTTTTCTAGAAAGCGAAGACAAAGAGAATGAATAATAGATCTGGAGATAAACTTTCAGATGGGGAAGATAGTCAGAGCCCAGAAAACAATAAGAGAAACTAAAACCATTCCCCTGATTTCTTAGCTAATTTTGGAGGTGCTGAGTAAATAAACTTTACCAATGAGGACTCAGATTATAATAAGAGCTTCAACAATGTAAACGACGACTAAGCAGAGGAGATCTTGCATAAAGGAAGAAAAAGAAAATAAAAATGAGCATTTCACGTTATATTTTTGGAATAATTATCCATTATTTATCTATATAGTTTGATTTAAATAACTGAATATATTAATGAAGAATTTCATTTAATTACTCTTAAATTTCAAAGCAAATTTCTAATCTTGGGGTTTTGGGGTTTTGGGGTTTTGGGG